GTTCCATCGGTGTTTCCAGTCACTCTTCTCAAGGAACTTCTCATCTAAGAGCTGAAACTACATGAAATGTGAAAAACAAGAAACCAGTGCACATCCCTACATGACCAAGTGCCCAAATGTGTGCCACGGCAGGCCAACATGGGCACGTCAGGTCTCTGAGTGTCCAGCCTGGCTCTTCCCCAGGCCTGAAATTCACTGCCTGCTGGTCTCTTCACCCTCATTCAGGGCTCAGATTAGGTGCCACCCCCCACATGAACCCTTCCCAAGCTGTTAGGGCTGCCTTGTTTCCTCAAACCAACCTTGCACTTATTTATCTGTGTACATGTGGTATTTATTCTCCGAGAACACAAGTATGTAACCTCCACGAGGCCAGGGGATATTGTTTTTGTCTTGGGATCCCAAGCACCTAGCTCTGCACCTTGTACATGTGTGACAGATATTTAATAAATGCTTATTAATTTACTGTAAGCATAAAGTGTACAAAATACACAAGCATTCCTGGAGGTGAGACTTGATCTTAGCCTTAAAGCACAAAGGATGAGGCCTGTGACTTCACTGGTATAGGGAATTCCCAGGGGAAGAAACTCACTCTACCAGAGCCAGTCAGCACCTTCTCTGCTGCTCACACACTTAGAAAGGAGGGATCTAGAACAGAGGTGTCAGACAGTGGCTGCATACACTTCAGAGTGCCAAAGAACCAGATCCAAACATAATCAGAAAATATTTAACAAAACAAATAAAAATACAATAAAACATGGATAACATTAACATGTGGTTTTCTAAGTCAATACCCAGCCAGGGTCCCCTTGGATGGTTTAGTAGCCCTCATTTCTATTTTAATCTGATGCCCTGCATAGAGTCCTGAGAGTTTCAGTGACTTTCCCAGGGTCACACAACCAGTATATATTAGAGGCAGGACTTGAACCCAGATCTTTCTCTCTAATCACTACACTATGCAGCCTCTATAGAGCCTACCTCTCAATGTTATTGTAAGGATAAAATAAGATAATGTTTGTAAAGCATTTTGCAAATTTTAAGGTACTCTATAAACACTACTTATTATTATTATTATTTAAGCAGGGTAATAATAATGAGAAGCAGTAAGGGATAGTGGATAGAGATGACTTCAAGTCCACCTCAGACACCTAGAGGCTGCTGGAGTGAGTGGAGCAAATCACTGAATGTCTCAGTGCCCTCAGGAAACTCTAGGACTTAGAATGCCACAGAGAAGGTGCCCAACTGCATCAGGAGAAGTTATTCATCTGCCCAGATAAAATCACCAGGCCCATCAAAAATTAAAAAGAAATAAGTGGCTTCCATGTTTTAAAGGTTTTTTCACAATGACCCTGTGATACATAATTAGTATAAGCACTGGTATTCCTATTTCCCAAGGTTAGAAACTGAGGTACAGGGAAGTTAAGAGATGCTCAGTGTCACATAGGGGGTGAGCAGGTCAGGACCAAAATTCAGTTCTTCTGAAGCCATCTCTCTACACACAACACTGCTTTCCTAATAACCACTATATGGAATGATATATAGTTGATAAATTATGTTTCTGTTTATCCTTCTGGTCCAGGACTAACTGCTAGAATTTGCTGGGGATTTTTTAGTAAAAAAAAAAATCTGTAGGTTTAAAATAAATGTACTATCAGCACAGGTTTAATTAATTACTCTAACTTGTAATGAGAAAGTTCAGTTGCTCAGCATTACCATGGACATATCTCCCTCTCCTTTGAGCTCTTCCCCTGGCTGCCTCTCCTCTTCTTCTACCTAAAACACACACACACACACACACACACACACACACACACACACACACACA